CCCCCCCCCCTTCCATTGGGAAATGGAGATGGGTGCTTTTAATGTCTGCTAATCCGGATTACCGAGCAGAAGCACATCAGTGTGTCCATTCTCAGACCAAAACACCTATTCTGTGTGTGCTCATCAAATAGAGCCATTCACGCCGACAAACACGAGATGCATGAATAAAGCACAAAGAGAAAATGATGTGGTAATAATATTCTAGCTATTTGCAGACAGCGGTACAGGGGGGAAGGCTGGATTCATTTCAGAAAGAGGGGAGGTTCGCGATAGGGAATTCACCATGCTGTAAAAAGGCCTGGCTGTCTGACTCAAAGAGCGAAAGAGAAAGAGAGAGCGAGGCACGGAGGGGGCGGGTAAAGGGGCCGGCAGACAGTTTGCTGTTTTTTCCACAAGGTGGCGGTAGTCAAAGCTGGCTGGGAACAATAACATCATCAGGCCAGATGACAGCCAAACAGGAGTGAGCAGCCCATAGAGGGCAAAAGAGAGCTGAGATGTCAAACAGTAGATAAAGAGATACACTGAGACATGACAGATTGCATGTTCTCAATATAGAGCCTCAGCCATATTGCTCTAGTGCTGTAATGGCAATGACTCTTGGCCTCCACTGCCCCCAGCCCTTTTGGCTATATTTAGGAAGGGACTTCTCCTTAGTGATTACAGTTATATTTTTTAAATCTGCTGGTTTTAAGGCAAAGTCTGGACTCAGGTAGCCATAACGTTGAGAAAATCTCAATTTTTGAGTGCTTAAGCAATAATATGATTCAGGCCACATGTGCTTTTTTTTTCAGAGTATGGATGAATGCTCTTAGTGACTGAATACAATGAGCCTCACTTGAGTGCCAGTATTTGCCTGAAGAGGTTTATGCTGTCAAGGCTATTTCAAGAATCAGCCGCCCAAGCAGCATGCGCATCGTGTTTACATAGACGAGCGGAGTAACGCCTTACTCCATGGCTGTGTGGGCGGGAATATATACCCAAGTGGGAAAAATACTCACGCCTATGCATATTCCCACACTGTAGTGTTAGCACATACTATATTCACACAGCGGCGGAGCGACCGTCTACACTCCCCATGTGAGCCTGTGACGATAAATCTCTCTGTGGCACGTTCCACGTTCTGATTAGCACATATAGCGTGCTGTGAAATGAAAAGGTCAACCGGTACGCAGGGCTGCGTGCTTGAATACATCTGCCTACACGAGTGTGTGTAATTGTGCATACATGACGAGCGGCAATCATCCTACTCACTGGAAGGACGGGGGCCGTGAGTCCCCGATGCCCCCTGTTCTCTCGAGGGGTGGGGGAAGTTCTGGATGGCTCTCCGTGCATTGAGATCCTCCATCAGAGTGTGCACTCTCTGCCAGGACCAACTGAAAAAGACAGGTTGGAGGAAACAAAATTATTCATTACAGATTAGACATATTCAGGTCAAAGACAAGCACACGTTATACCGTGCATATTTTATTGTATTCTATAGGCTGCATAGTGTGGACACAGAACTAGAAGAAAGAAACTCTGTAACCACGTAAACTCCAAGATAAACTCAGAGACAGACGTCTCTTATGTGCAAGTCCACTCAGGGGAGGCTGTGAAATTGAGATGTGGCAAAAAGGCCTACCGATGACTTCTGGCTATGCTTATACAACTTGAGAAACACTGCAAGCTACTTAGAAACTTAAAAGACTTCCGTTCTTTTACTCAGCTGAGTGTCGATACAAAGGATGATGTACAATGACCCATCCTTTCATCTGAGCCAGAATAATGAAAGTTAAAGCAGACAGGCGAGGAAAGCCCAACAACTCTGTGGGCTGTGATTATTCTAATGCAAGCCTGGGGGTTCACAGGCATCGCTATGGTGCCACTCGATTCTCAAATAAAGAGTGGGATACTTTTCTTTTCTCCATTACAACGGATATAAGTGTTACTGCAATTTCCATCACCTTCTGTGCCTGCCGTGTACTGACTTGCTGGCTTTCTTCTCGAAACATCCTAAGAAGGAGCAGATTTCTCTCTGGTCCTTGGATCTCCAGTTTTATAGAAATTTGTTTCTATTTAAAACAGCAGCTGGTGACCAAAATGCTGTAATTCTAAAGAAAAATCAATGACATAAAAACATAGGACAAGCTGACAGAATTAAACAAAGGAAAAATAAAATGAGAAAAAAGAGAAGCCAGAGAATAAAATGTTTTAAACTTCAGGTTTTCAAACGGGTTTTTAAATGTCTAATGTTGGGGGGGGGGGGGCTGCTGTGAACGGGCAGTTTGTTCCAGAGTTTAGGAGCAGCCACAGGAAACGCCCGATCTCCGCTATGCTTTAATCTGGACCTCAGGACAGCTAGGAGCTTCTGGTCCGCAGACCTCAGTGAGCTTGAAGGAGTGTATGACTTTAAAAGATCAGAAAGGTACGAAGGCGCTAACCCATGCAGTGCCTTAAAAAGAAATAAGAAAATCTTAAAATCAATTTGAAAACCGACTGGCAGCCAGTGTAAAGATGCTAGTATAGGACATATATGGTGGATGCATTTATTACATTATTTTCCTTCTGGCTTTGAGAGTTTTTTATGGTAGACCTTGAAGAGAATTCCTGATATATTTTTTCCCAAATACTTTAAAATGTACACACTGGATTATTTTATCTAAGGCCTTAATAAGAATCAGAATAATTCCAAAGGAAATGATGTGGTTACAGTTGCTTTAAGAACAACAGTAACAGATTTAACTAAATTAAATAATACAATATATTACAAAGTCACAAAATATAAGAAAAAGCTCTAATATACAAACAGCTCAATTATAAATATCCAGAATATTACAGAGATTAAATATATATGATTGAAATTAACTTAATGAACGTAACTAATTTTGGAAACACTGGACTTGCTAATCACACTGACATAAATATGTGGACCAGGTTAATCTTCATATTACAGCCAGAATCTCTGACGGCCCAAATACGGCACATATTCCAAAAAGCACATCAGATAAATTACAGAGTATTTCAATCTAGCCCAATCTGGTTTGCAAGGACCCTCCCTGGGTATGTCTTTAAATTCCATTAAAATCACCAATAAAATAATCAAAAGCACAAACTTCAGCAGCAATTTACATAATAACGTCCCAAAACTGTAGCTTTAAAAATTGTTCGAATATGAGTGTAAAATGATTTCAGCCATGTTCCATCTTAGGTTCTGCAGCTCCCCCAGCATGATAGGTAGTATTCTTAATTATTAATGCATTACGATTGATCTGACATTGCCCCACGAGCAAATGTTTATCTTTTCATTTTATACTAAGTTTAATAGCACAGAAATTTTCCTTCCTTTTGAAATGTTT